TTCGACAAGGTGCCGTTCCCGCTGTGCATCAGTCGCGGCGGCGGCGGCTGGCGCGTGTGGCGGCGTGTCACGTTCGCCGCCGCGCGCGTGGACGTGCGGCGCGTGGCGCGCTGGGCGCCGACCGGCCTTGTGGTCGCTGCGCCTGGACTGGCGCAGACTGAGGACCTACGCGGCGTGATGCTGCGCGTGCGCTTCCTCAACTACTACCCGTACGTCTTCTGCCCGCACAAGGCTGCCGGCGGCCTCTGCACCGCGCCGTACGACCGGCCCGAGACGAACCTGGTCGACGTGCTCGCCGCCAAGCTCAACTTCCGCTTCGAGCTGCGCGAGCACCCGCGGCGCTCGTGGGCGAGCCGCGCGCCGAACGGCACCTGGAGCGGCCTGCTCTCGAGTGTGGTGTACGGCGCCGCTGACCTTGCCGTCGGCGGCATCTCCGTCACCGCCGAGCGCGCCAGCGCCGTCGACTTCCTCCGTGAGTTCACGGTGGTGCACTCGATCTTCGTGACGCACCGGCCGCCCCCGCTGCCGCCGTACATGACGATCCTAGCGCCGTTCTCGCCACGACTCTGGGCGCTGGTGCTGGCGTCGGTGCTGCTGGTGGGCGCTGTGTCGGCGCTGCAGCGGCGACGACGGCTCGACCTGGCGCTGCTCGATGCGTACAAGGTGATCGTCGCGCAGAGCTCGGGGCGCGTGGTGCGCTGCGCGCGGAACCGCCTACTGACCGGCATCTGGCTGCTGACGGCCTTCATCGTGGCCTGTATGTACACCAGCAACCTGACGTCCTTCCTCATCAACGGCGCTCCGGGCGTGCCGGTGGAGACGGTGGCGCAGCTGGCGGCGAGCCCCCTACGCCTCGCCGTCTCGCGCAGCAACAAGATGTTCCTAGAGTGGCTGGCGGAGCGACGGGGCGCTCAGTACGTCGCCCTCCGCCGGAAGGTGGTCAAGGTGCCCAGCTTGCGGGCGTCCTTCCACGCACACGCGGAGGGCCACGCGTTGGCGCACGTATTCGAGGACGAGTACTTCGAGTACATGCTGTGCGAGACCATCCTGGAGAAGCGCGGCGCGCTCTGGCCGGAGGACCTCGTCGTCAGCCGCGACACGTTCATGCCGTCCGGGCTGGCCGTCCCGGTGCAGAGGAACGCGCCGTACGGCCGCAGGATGGGTGCGCTCGTCCAGCGGCTCACCGACTCCGGCATCATGCGCAAATGGCTCTCCGACGCGCTCTTCTCGCTGCGCCTCCGCGCGCTCCGCGCCAACGTGGCGGCGTGCCGCCGCGACGCCACCCTCTGCGGGCCGACGGTCGAGCGGCGACCGCTCAGTCTCCAGCACCTGCAGGGGCCGCTGGCGCTGCTGGCGCTGGGCTACGTGCTCGCGCTGGCGGCGTTCGTCGTCGAGGTGCAGCTGCACAACGTGAAGAGGCTGCGCGGCTGGCGGCAGAAGCGGCGCGCGAGGCTGGCGATGCTGCAGGCGGTGGCCGCGATCAACGTGGGGAAGAAGGCGTCGCTGGGGGCGCGGGCGCCGCGCCCCTAGCCAGGGTCGGCGAGGGCTGAATGGATGAAGGTGGAGGGGAGGATCGACGGGTGTGGCGCCGGCTGCCTGCAAACGTGGCTGAACTGAAGTGAAGTCCGAAGTGATTGATGTGGCTTGAACTATGGACACTCCAGTCCCTGTTCAAGGGGTTCGATGTTTGTGGCTTATGTGTTCCCAGAATGAGAACGCCGTTGTGTGTGGTTTATGTTCCCCAGCCGGATCAGCTTTCCAATGGTTTGTGTGCCCCCGGGCATAGGAAGTTGTCGATGGCTTATGTGCCCTTGGCAGAGTTTGACGCAGTCAAACATGGTTGGCGCCCAGAGACGCATGCTGCTGGTGCGGATACCGTGCTGCGGCTCCACAATCGGCTCGTCATGCCGCTGGCTGCGGGTACCGTGCTACGGCTCCACAATCGACTCGTTATGCTGCTGGTAGCGGGTACCGTGCTACGGCTCCCCAATCGACTCGTTATGCTGCTGGTAGCGGGTACCGTGCTACGGCTCCCCAATCGACTCGTTATGCTGCTGGTAGCGGGTACCGTGCTGTGGCTCCCCAATCGGCTCGTTGTGCTGCTGGTAGCGGATACCGTGCTACGGCTCCCCAATCGGCTCGTTATGCTGCTGGTAGCGGGTACCGTGCCGCGGCTCCCCAATCGGCTCGTTATGCTGCTGGTAGCGGGTACCGTGCTGCGGCTCCATAATCGGCTCGTTATGCTGCTGGTAGCGGGTACCGTGCCGCGGCTCCCCAATCGGCTCGTTATGCTGCTGGTAGCGGGTACCGTGCTACGGCTCCACGATCGGCTCGTTATGCTGCTGGTAGCGGGTACCGTGCTGTGGCTCCCCAATCGACTCGTTATGCTGCTGGTAGCGGGTACCGTGCTGCGGCTCCACAATCGGTTCGTCAGAAATGCCGGCGCGTGCATTCACATGAACAGTCTGGGAGTAAGGCATGTGCCTTTGTTCCTAAGATTCACGTAGATAAAAGGTAAAAAAGAACGCCTGATGGCGTCGCGCGCATTGTGTCCTGCCATTGAGTCGAAGTGAACGCACCAAGCTCCTATATATAAACTCAGCTGTATAGCACCAGCGCCGCACTGGCATGACTGAAGTAAATATGACATGTTTGACTGACTAGAAGGGCGCTTCGAACCAATGTGGTATAAGCCGTCGAACGATGACGCATCCGACTAGGAGATGGAAACAGTCCAAAAGAGCTATAGCACACGTGTGAGCTAGCCGTTGGAATTAACGTTAAAGAGCACACTTGTCCAAGCGTATCCCTTGCCACCACCGCTGTCTGTCCTTATCATATCATGTTTTGAATAAGACCTAAGATTGCATTGCTGTATATTGTCAATATGCTGTCGTAATTGCACAAGAAGTGCAGTCAGCCATTACGCGATGGATCTGGGCCCAGCTGTGAGCCCAGATGTGTTGTCACAGGTAAGTGGTCCTACACACTGCTGTGTTGATAAGACTAGCTAGGTACTCGAGCTGTTCTTGAGCACCATAATTCTCGCACGAAATACACAATTTTCTGAAAATAGAGACGCACGAATGCAGTTAACCAAGGCAAGCGTCAACCGTAAGAGTGGTGATAGTGCCCACTCGTTGAGAGCTGCTTGCAAAGATGTGGGCCGCTCGCAATGCAGATTATTTTCCAATAAAGGCGCTTTTTATGGTGAAAAATTCCTTACTTTTTTGTTTTACAGCATTGACATAAGCTATTGCTTTTAACCTCAGGTGCCCAGGGCCTACCCCATGTTAACGATGGGCCAGAAATCACGTCTTAAGCTTTTGCGAGCAAGGGAGTATTGCTGCTTGTTTAAGTTTTGCATCGTATTGGAGAGCCAGGTCTATCCCGCGTTTGACTTGCCCCTCTGCTCCCCCTAAGTGATGACACCAGAATGCGCTAAAACACTCAGGGGACGGTGGGGTTACGTGTTGTGTCGTACTGAATGTCCCGACCCGTTCCGCTCGCTCCCATTTGCAAAGTTCTGTCTCTGTGGAAAGATCAGTGGCTGGCAGGTGCCTACCAGTGTCGTACAGAGCAAACTAGATTACCATTTTATACCCAGCAGAAGCTGTGTCAGCTAGGTAAACAAGCAATCGAACGCAGTGATGTCACAAGAAAGGCTAAAACACCTCCGGTCCGATTTAGTAGAGTCACATCCTAAAAAAACAATCCTTTGCAAAATGTTCGTTGCGTCCGTCTTGTATCTGCTTTTGGAACTCATCGGGAGCAGCACTACACGAAAAAATATGCCTCCAGGGCCTACACATGCTTTATAGGTCCACTTCACTGATAGACAGCACGCCGCGCATACAGCATGAAAAATGACGTTTTAATCGCACATCCACACTGCGGCAAGCTCAATACACGGCAGCTTCGTCACCGCACGTCTCGCACTTTTCACATGCTATTTAGCGGCACATGGGCGCATTCAGTGGCACCCATATAACCCACGTGAATGGCGCATGCGTATTGATGCCTGTAACACGACGTGAACTTCGCACGTTGCCATCATCTATAACCTTGTCAGCCATTCTTCTACTCCGGTCAGTCCTCCTTGTTTGCTACTTTTCGTGGTAACGATCTTCTGTCGACGAAAAGGATGCAAGGCAATGACGGATTAGCATCTGTGGTCTCATTCCGGTCGCATCTTGTCCTTTTGTATCGGTTTTTACCGAGGACGAATCTAACACACACGTTGGAGGCATGTTTCTAAGGTAGTGTCAGGTGCTCAAAAATGTAGAGAAAAGTGTCTGTAAAAACAATACATGTTTTTATCGTCTTAAGTGGCCATGGCCCCTCTGTCTTCCGTTCTGTTTGGGTCCACCGGGAACTTCGTGCGCCGACCTCAGTGGTTTTCGCGTGTCACATGTGCAGTTACCATTCGACTTAAAAGATCGGCCATAAGAAATGCTTCTTTTCAATGTATTTTACCACCCACATAGTGTGCACCGCCACGAGGACTGCATTCACAAGCCGGCTGTGACGGGAACTGCAAAACTGTCAGCACTGAGTCTTGAACCCAGGACCTCTCGCTCGTTAGGCGACGGTTCTCGACCTCCTCGACTGGTCTTCGGCATCTGCGGGATCTCAGCCAGTGCACTAGTCCTCAAGCACCTTTATTCGGAAATTAGTAAAGTTTAGCGTCACCAGCTGCAGCATGCGGACGCCAGTAATCACCGCAGCCGTTCGCTTCCCAAGGAGACATCGCCGTACCGGCTCGGCATGAAGAATGGCTGTCAGTGGGCTCATCACGGTTTTTTTTTGGAGCTCAGGGCTGCTTTGCGTATTTCTCATTAAAAGGATACTGGGATACATAAACCTTGTTCCGCATTTGCCACTTGGCCTTTCGCCGCACCCCTGCGCGCACCGACATGGTTCCGGCAGCTTTAGGACAGTATCTTTTGAGCCGATTGACACAGGTGTCTCTGCTTCTTGATTTGCAAGTTTCTCCGCAGGTGAAGACGTGCAAGCCAGCCATGGGCTTCAGCTTTGCCGCCGGCACCACTGACGGGCCAGGAGCCTTTGACTTCACTCAGTCGGACACGTCAGGTCAGTACTGGGCAGGCGCGGGTGGGTCTTAGGCGAGTCTCAGACGGGTCTCAGGCGGGTCTCAGGCGAGTCCCAGGCGGGTCCCGAGCGGGTCTCAGGCGTGTCCCGAGCGAATCTCAGGCGGGTCTCAGGCGTGATGCAGGCGGGTCCCGGGCGGGTCCCAGGTGGGTCTCCGGTGGGTTCCAGGCGGGTCCCAGGTGGGTCTCAGGTGGGTCCCAGGCGGGAACCAGGTGGTACATGTGCCTTCGGTGGCAGCGGGGAAAGTGTTGTGAAGAAGATAGGATAGCGTAGTGTACCCTCTCGATCACGGCATGGACCGCAAGACTCTCAACCACTTATGATCCTCAAGTTATTGATGCTTCTTTCTTTTCTTGATTTGGACCCATCAGGAACCAGCAAGCGATGGCAGCCGATCCTTTCATACATGGGTCTTCTTCTCGATTAACACACCGTTTTATCGTTGGTCGTGAATGACCCTCCTGAACGCATCGCTCCAACCGGACATGCGTATGAACAAGAGGCGTATTTTGTGGATTTAAAGGACCCGTCGAAACAACCACGCTGGGTGACCGGGCGCGTTCCCCCACCCTGTCAGGTGACGGGGCGGGCGGCCGCCCGCGACTTGACCTTGACTTGGACGTTGACCAGCATATGCGCGTTATGTTGCGCAGGCAACCTCTTCTGGGATGCGATTCGTAACATGATCAAGAAGCCGTCCGAAGAGCTGAAGCAGTGCCATCACCCGAAGCCGATCCTGCTGCCCACGGGCGAGGTGAGGGCCGCCTTGGCACACGTGTCTGCCGTGTCTTCCACTCGAATCTATGGCTACGGAAACATGCGAGAATAAAAATACGGGACGGTGGAAAAAGTGGAGAATGGGAATCACGGAGGATGGGAACAGCGGAGAACAGGAATTGCGAATAATGAGAATAAAAGGGGATGGGAATAGCGGGTAAGAAAGGATGACGGAGGATGGAAATAGCGGATGATGGAAATAGCGGGTGGTAGAAGTAACAGAGAATAGGAAAGTGAAAAGCTGGAAGTAGCAGATATTGGGAATAACGGAGCATGAGATAAGCTCAGAATGACACACACGGACGCTGCAAATAACGGAGGCTGGGAGGTACGGAATGAAAATGGCGGTCATCCCACTGTATTGAACGTCGATAGCACTCCTTCTCGGCATGTCAAGCTTTCACTGGGAGATATCACTGAATGGGTGTAGTCAGTCTTTTATTTTGGAATAGGTAAATGTGAGATGAATAGATAATTGAGAGCATGTAATATGAGATGATTTGCTAATTAAATGCATGAAAATATTTCGTAACTTCATATTCAAGGTATGGCATTACGAGATGGCTTGACCCACGTAGATAAGTGTAGCAAGACGATTTAAGGGACGTAAATGTAGTTGTAACGAGGTAGTTCAATGCGTGTAGATATGAAACGACCGCCTTGTTTGCAGCCTAATGAGATGAGAGCGTCGAATTTTCGGGCGCGTCGACCTCTGCGGTCATTTAGCAGAAGGAATTGGGATGCATGAAGTAGCTTCAACCATTTAGATCCCGTATGGGAATAAACCCGCCAAATATTTGGGTGTAAATACCAAACGGAATAAACGTCCCTGATGGGAATAGAAAGCTAGCAATACAAAACCATGTGAATTAGAAAATGGGACCATAAGAGGCTGTGTGCACAAGAGAGTATAGCAAATAAGATTCATTGGGAAAAGGCTTTGGGAAGAAGTGTTTTGGGAACAAGAGTTATTTTATTTTGGATTATGAGAAGAAGTGACGTGGAAAAATAAAGAACTTTGAAAATGAAAGATTAAGAGGACAACGCGTAATGATACCATGATGGGCGACATAGACTTGTGACTATGAAACTACATAACTATCGGAGAACTGCCAGAAAATTGGTTAAACCTTTCAACGTCTGTGCGTTCGCATCTAGGCAGGAAGCATTCCAAGGTCACCTTGCCACCTGTCATTTCCGCTACCATTTGCAACAGCATGATTGATGTGAAGCAGGGGACGTCACAGACCCGCCTATGGCTGTACTAACCGGATGCAACATGTTCAATGCCCATAACTGCACCCGTCGTCGAATGTTGCTTCGACCTGGTTCGAGACACCGGGTTTAGGGCTTGAAGGCGCCGTTTTTCACACGCGGACGGGTGCAAGGCTCCCCAGGGTAATGGCCTGTCGCATGTCCAGTATCGTTAGCAACGGAGCTGTGTTTTCGGCGGCAAATGACGTCACTGGTCGAACATCCGCCCCCCGCGCGCGAGGCAAGCCTGCTTGTCGAACGTGCGCGCGTGCTTACTCTACGACTTAGTAATTACTGTACCAAGCGGCGTAGGAATTGCGCATGATTGATCGTTATTGATATTGTTATGGCTTCAAGTACACATACGTGAAATTTACTCGGCGAAGCCTGCGTGCCCCCCCCACCCCGTAGAGTATTTATTAATGATAGCAATATGTGATTGAGGGGATAGACAGCGTCTTTGTTGGGCTGTTCGGGTTAATGGGTTTGAACTTTAAAAGGTTCTTATACGCGGGGAAAGAGGATCAGCCAGTGATCACACGTATGCAATTGTCCTTGATCATGGAGCATGTTTACCTGTGATAGACTTGGTGCGGCGCGAGTGTTCTAGAAAATAGGAGATAGTAGAGAAGAGAGAACGAAGAATCAAGAGATGAAAGAGCGCTCGTCGAGCTAGAATGGATCTCGCGGTCCGAGATCTCTCTCTTCCTCGAGAATCTTGCTCTGGACTGCCTATTAGCTCTCTTCGCTCTCTATCGATTTTCTTCTCTCTCTCTGCTCTCTCTTATCTCTCTCTCTTCTCTTCTCTCTCCTCTCTCTCTCTCCTTCTCTCTCTCCTCCTCTCTCCTCTCTCTCCTCTCTCGCTATTCTCCTCTCTCTCTCTCTCTCTCTCTCTCTCCTCTCCTCTCTCTCCTCTCTCTCTCTCTCTCACTCACTCTCCTCTCCCTCTCGCTCGCTTGCTCGCTTTTTCACTTTAACGACCTTATTCACGGGTCCTTCGCGGGCTTTTTGCCCCTAAGACTTATTTTTCCTTTCTAGATAAATGACGCATTAATACGCCACTAGACGCAAAACGGCGAACCTCAATCGGATGCGTACATTTCTTCCATGGTCCGTATAGTGGCTGTATTTGCTAATTGTGCGGTGGGGTGTCGATGAATATCCAATTTGCAAAAAAACCAGCCATGAAAAGACAATTATCTTTGTGATTACAAGCATGAAAATCAAAGATACCAACAAAGAAAGGTATTACCTCATTTCGGAAGGAAGAGTTAACTTATATTTTTTCGGTGTGAGGTTTCATACGAAAGTCTATACATTGCACAAAGGCAATGCATCCATCGCCGAATTGCTGAGTGTGACCGCTTTGATCATACTGGAAGCAGCGTTTTGGTTGGAAACCTGCAAAACATATTTTGATGTGCTGTAAATTATTTCCTGCGACTTGATGCAAGCATAACCAACCGTCGACCTACCAGGCGCTCCCCAGCTCACATTCGTGAGGTTGCTTTATCTTGTGGGCCTCACACTGCACAACGTCGTTGCATCTTATTCTCTAGTCCTCGAAATGAGCTCGGGCTGTTTCGTCTATCACAAACCGATATCCCCTTACGCAGCGTCGCAACTTTGTCTCAGCTTCGCACCGAGTTTTTCCTGTGACCACGTATCTCGCGTCTCCGTTCAGCCCTGCACCTTCGTGACGTCATCATTTTCAACACGTCCGATCCGGTTCGCACAGCTCTGTTCAGTGCTGTGCAATTGTCGGAGTTGTCAACAGTTTTTACTCGCCGCCAGATCGGGTTCCCGTACGACTGGCAACCAAGCGTGGTACCGGTTCAGCTGCTGCGCTTCGGTGACGTCATCATCATCGGCATGCCCGGGGAGCTGACGACCATGGCGGGCAGACGAATCAGGGACGCGGTCAGTCGATCTTCAGACAAATCAGAGACGCGGAAACTTCCCCCGCTCACCACGCGGCAAATATGCGGTCCTCAGGCAACAGGACGTGCTGGAGAGGAGTAGGATTGAGGAGACTCACAAGCTGGCCACTGAATAAAAAAGCTCACTCGAAGATGATAGCAACTCCGCTAACTGTTGGAGACCATTGTCTTTGCTAAGGCTGGTGTGTTGCCAAGATCCGAACCCGACTGTAGTCGAGGAACTCTAGTTCAGTGTGCGATCTTAGGTGGTGTAGCAAATGACGATTGGGAGCTGGGGGACGATATCAATTAAAGCTACACTCTAACGCACTGCGCACTGCCATTGCACCGCCATCTTGTGTCAGCTTAAGCTTCCTGGTCAGTTGCCAACTGACTATTGCGAGCGAATCTCATAAGGGCATCTAATGGGGCCGAACCCGCACGTCTTCCGTACAGTGGACCAGCGATGCCTGCGTCATCCAAACCTAGCCACTGGTGTAGCTGTTGGAGGTAGCTAGGAGGGAGGGTATAGATGCTGATTTGCGGTCCCCTGTTTTCATGCAAGGTCACACGCGTGCCGCGCCACCGCGCCGCGAGGCTGGCTGCGGACGCCGGGCCCTGAAGTCCAGATCGGCTATCTAGGCGGAAGAGCCGCGACATATTGTTTGTTGGAGCCCCTTCCATTGTTCGGGATGGTCCTGCAATTCCGGCGGGCAAATTGGGTGAAATGTAAATGCTCATTGAAACCAGGTATGCAATGGCAAAACATCCATAGAAAAGGCTGTTAGTGCTTAAATGACTTTACCACTGTACGCCGTCGACCTCCGTCGACCGTCGACCGTCGACCTTCGACCGTCGACCCCGCCGTCCGGTTAGCTCTGCGATCGTGGTAGCCGGCAGAGTGGAGGGAATGTCCGACGTTTCCCACGGTGTGTTTGACTAAGGTGGCCGCCACGTTCGCGGAGGCCGGTGAAACGGTCCAGGTGGCGATCGCAGGCCTGTCCAACACCTACTCCGACTACGTCACCACCTTCGAGGAGTACCACGTAAGATGGTCCAGGTCCCATGCCCGGCACCTGTTCTACGTCACCACCTTCGAGTAGTACTACGTAAGATGGTCCGGGTCTCATGTCCGGCACCTGTTCTACGTCACCATCTTCGAGGAGTACTACGTAAGATGGTCCAGGTCCCATGCCCGGCACCTGTTCTACGTCATCGCCTTCGAGGAGTACTACGTAAGGAAGTCAGGGTCCCATGTCCCACACCTGTTCTACGTCACCACCTTGAAGAAGTGCAATATAAGAAACGTCAACTTCTTTGTCCGAACTTATTTCACGTCACCACCCTCGGGGAGTACCACGTAAGATGATCCAGGTCCAATGTCCGACACCTGTTCCGCATCACCACCTTCGAGGACTACCACATGATATCGTTCAGGGTTTTGTCCAACGTCTGCCTCGCCCACACCAACCAACAAGGAGTACTAAGTGAGACTCAGATTTTCTGTCGGCGCCCGTTTCACCGACAGTTCACCCTACAGAAAATTCACCCAGTTCACCCAGTTCACCTCACCCTAGATGAGCGTAAGGCGTCAGTCACTCCGCCAGATCCTCTGTTGAACACATGCCCGCACTTTGTTCTCACATTCGAGGAGAGCCAGATAAGCTGGCTGAGACTTACTGAGAATTCAAGCGGCAGCGTCGACGTTCTAAGTAGAAAACATCTCGCTACACGCAACGCCTTCTCGCTTCCCTTGTGCAATGGGTCATGCTTGCGTGCATTGGTTATGCGGCTGTGCGTGTTCAGCGCTGGACTGTGTCTGGGACTTAACCAGCAGTGACCACACGAAGGTGCGACCGCTTCGAACTCCCGAGCGCATCGTGATGTCACAGCTCTCTCCACGCAAGACTCGCACGCTGCATGGCCAGTTCAGCATCATTCCCAGCTGAAGCCTCCTGTGGAAGGCACAACATCCATCTTCAGCACTAAACCTCCACACTAGACACTGCATACATGCACACTACATACAAACCTACTGCCCCATTTTGCCCCAGGATCTCAGTCTGTCCTCACAGCATCCGCCCTTCTCTTGTTTACAGAAACAGCGCTACGAAGGCGCGTCCACCGTGTACGGCCCTCACACGCATCAGGCCTATTTGCAGAAGTTCCAGGAGCTGGCCAGCAAGATGATTCAGGTAATGGGGCTAGTTTGTGATGCTCCGTTGAGAAACGGCTCTCTCATTTGCGATCATGTTGTAAACTTGAAACTGCGATGATATCATGTTCTTTTGTTGATTGGTGTTAGTCTGCAAACATTATCACACAGCCATCATCAGCTGTAAGTATCACGCATTGTGCTTTCACTGTAACTGGCTGTTGTACTTGCAACCTTATCTATTTCGACGGTATTTTGGGGCCACAAAGCATTGGCGTTGTTCCCCGCCTTGCTTTCTGTCTCACGGACTGCCAACAAACTTTGTGAACCCCCGAACCGCCCCCTTTCCCAGATAGTCCTTGTGTTAAATAGCATACAATCGACGGGTAAAATTTGTGAGCCCCTACCGCACCCGCCCCCCCCCCCCCCCCCCCAGCAAGAAACTTCCATGGCCTTACGCTTCCGCGGACGAGACATAACCCCGGCATGATTTGTGAGCCTCTGTGCCTTCAGGGAACTCCAGTGTCAGACGAGGCGCAGCCTCCGGACATGCTCTCCAGGCAGATGAGCTTCGTTCCGCCAGTGATCTTCGACGCAGCGCCCCTGGGCCAGAGCTTTGGTGACGTCACCCAGCAGCCGCCAGCCAACGCGTTCCCGGGCCAATCAGTGGCCGCCAAATTTGTGAGTCCGCAGAGAGACAGAAGACAAGGTTTATCCGGGCAGATTTCAAGAACCTTTGACAATCGAGCTTAAAACTGGACGCAAGGGCTTGCGACGCTGTCAAGGCTCATACACTCCTGTGTAACGCTTCAAATGATACACAATTTCTGTCACAAGATATCAGTCATGACATCATGAGTATTGAGATCAAAATTATTGCTGCAAACCATCACAATTGGAAAAGAAAGCAAAATATGGCAGAAACACACATTTTCCAAAGCAAGTTTTCAGTTATCCGAGGAGTGTAGACAACAACGGAGCATACTTATAAATAGCGTTTGAGATATCACGCAGACGCATAGCAAGGAATGTAAAGCTTACTAATCACGTGTGAAAATTACATAAATGTACAAACTTTTACATAAATGTTAACCCGTTACTTAAAATGTAAACCTTATTGATGTAATGTGGACCTCATTAATCAAATGTACACGTTATTCCTTCAATGTAAACCTTATTAATGCACTATGAAGGTGTTTGTTACGCCGGTCTTTGTTCAATGCAGTCAACCAATTCTCTGTACGCAGCTTTTTGGGCTGCTTGCAGAAAGTTGGTTGATAATACACATTATCATAATGCACTAACACACATTACCACGTCATGTATCTCGTTTCTTTCCTACCTTACAGATATCGGGACATCCGCGGAATAATCCGATGACGGGCAAATCGTTCCTGGAGGTTCTCAAACAGCAGCAGGACGGCAGCTGGGGTGTGGTCGCTACCGACGCCTCCTGGGAAACATTGTGAGTCCCCCATTTGCCAGCGCCTTGGTCATCTTGGTGTGTAATCTTGACTCAGCCAAGCTGAGTCAAGAGCTGTAAATCAGGCACATAGCGAGGCATGTAAGAGAATGTGCCATTCGAGGGACCAGATGAGTATCCCGACGTATGTGCGTCGCGGTTGGATGTTCGTCTTCTGCTGCCGGTGATGGCGGTAAAGTACCACGTCCCATCACTGAATGTGGTGGGGAAAACGCGTGCCGGAAGCATCCACGGTAGCGCTCATTCACAGCGAAGAGGGATTGTCTCCATGCCGTCGGTCTCGCTGGGATTGTTTCCATGTCGTCGGTTTCGCTGGGATTGCTTCCATGTCGTCGGCCTCGTTCCTCTGCTCGCGTTTGTCGGCATTCGGCCCCAGCAAGCAACCCTCAGGTTTTTGTTTTGCACGCGAATCGTGTTAAAGTATTTTCCTGTTCATTATCTGTTGAATGCTAGTCGTTGGCCTTCACGTGAGTTTACACGTGACTCGTTCTAACGCATCCTCGCGTTCGTGATCTGCTACACGTCAGGCGTTGGTGTTCGCGCGCGTGTGCACGCGTAGCTCGTGCTTGCGATTCGAGTTTTCCATATGACGTTGCTGCTTTTCCAGTTTCAAGTGGACGCGCACCAACAGCGTGCTGGGGCACTCGGAGGTCACCTGCACCTGGAACATTCCCGCGGACGTCGACCCCGGCACCTACAAAATCAGGGTATGAATCAGACGCACTGTTGCAATCAGAGAATTAATTGTAGCAACGGCTGCTAGTGCCTGTACATTTAGTATAAAGTGTATGATCAAGGAAAACGAATGGGTCAAAAATAAAATATTCCCAAGCATTTCTTGAGCTTCAACTGTCCTTGTCTCCCCCTCCCTCGATCCCTCGGTATGTGAACGCTCCCTGCGCCCCTGATGCCGGCGACATCTCCACAGCACATGGGATACCACAAGCCAGCGCTGTCCTTTCTGCGACGGGTCGCGCAGAAGGTCGGTAACTTCTTCGCCAACATGATGGGCATGAAGCCCATTCGCCTGCAAACCACCGTCTATTACGAGGGGGAGACCAGCCCCTTCGAGGTACGTGTTGCCGCGCCGCGATGGCGGCGCAACCGACAGAACATCGGGGCTCTGTATGAAACCCGAGTTCGATTCCCGTCAGTTGCTAGTGTCGTTGTGTGCTTATAAGATCGTGGCAGTCGCTGCTCTCCATAAGTGACTGGAAAACGACGTGCTCGAAGATGCTTGCAGAGTCATACAGGCTCGACGCGGCGTGAACGTGCATCTCTTATAGAGGCGTAACAGGATGCAAGGCAACGTGCCCATGCATCCCGCGGGAGGCTCTTAAGAGGCTCGAGAGGGGCTCACGAGGGCCTCAACATCGCCACCAGCCTGGTGTTGGTGCTGGCGTCACTCTTCAGGCTTGAATTGTTTGGTGCCGCTGAGGATTGTTTTGGGCGAGGAGGAGACTTGCCTCGTCGGCGGCAGAGTTTGATGCTGAGAGGGGATGTTCTCACCCGCAGCTTGTCGACTATGAAAATGCTTTTTTAGATATCTTGAGAACGTCTGCTCATGCTGACACTTGCTGACTAGCTCGGAATCACTGCCCGCATTATGACATGGGTAATGGCTAGCAGTTTAATTTATTTTTTTGAAGTAGTCGCATTTGACCAATGGACAAGACTGGACGTTGACTCCCGCACTCGCTTTTGATGCCAACGTTCGGTTCGATGGGAGTGAGTAGCCTCGATATGGATAATTTTAGTGTGGTGAAACACATCTCCATGTGGATCTGCCACTGTGTACCCGGATCAAAACAATATTTGTGGCTGCTGCAGTGCAAGGATTCATCGACATTCACTTTCGCTTGTTCGTTTTTAACGTTCATTTTCTACCTCGTTTATGACCGTGACGTCATTTTTATCTTTCAGATTGCCGAGCCGTGGCTGGTTCTCCGTTCCGGAAAATGAGCCTGTGTCGGGAATGGGAGTACGACAATATCCAGGAGAAACAAAGGCATTACGTGACGGGCTGTCTATGTGCGCTCCACTAATAGACATGTTGGAATCACGTGTTGGTTTCGTTACTTTACTGCGTGTAGCTGCCGGTATTATCCTCTGCGTCGTCGAGGTGATATGGCATACACTTTTACATCCAAGTGATTTACATGCGTGCATAAACTAAAGGCTAGAAACTGCTATAGATAGAAATTTATCCTGGAGGCTGACAACATTCCTTGAAGCACGTAATGTTCTTTGCAAATACTTTTAAACTTGCGTTATTTACATGAAACCTGACTATCTAGCTGTACGCTTTTCTTTCACTGTATGCGAAATAACTATCGAGAATCAAACAAAACTAACGCAACCATACCTGATCCATTATCCGCTTCTTATAATTGACGTTACTCCTGGCCGCTACATGCTCAAAGTGAAAATAAATATAAAATAAATAAACAAAAAAATATGTGTACGCACACTGTCCGTGTATACAAATGCGGTGCGGACAACCGTTGTGAACGCCGCACCACACTAACTGCTAATCACTAATCTGCGGCACCAGACTGCGTGCGGCGTCATCGGTCAGGATTTCGTTGCTTCGTCTTTCAAGACACCTAAGTGGTGCGCGGACAATCTTCGGCGGGCTGAGGGTCGAGGGAAACCGCTCAGGTGTCGGCGACGTCAGCGCCCACCGCTCGGGTGTCGGCGACGTCAGCGCCCACCGCTCGGGTGTCGGCGACGTCAGCGCCCACCGCTCGGGGTGTCGGCGACGTCAGCGCCCACCGCTCGGGTGTCGGCGACGTCAGCGCCCACCGCTCGGGTGTCGGCGACGGCAGCGCCCGTCACGTCTCGTTCAGTTGTTGGCGACAGGGCCACTGGCGACGGCCGCACACAGTGGGTCGAGTGACGTCGTAGTAGTGGCAAATCTGGTCACGAGCCTTTTGTTTGAACAAAGTGGTGACGGTGCACATACCGGGAGATGAAGTGCGCGGATATGACTGGTAGGAAGCCAGGACGTTGCAACTGTGCAGGAGCACGCCTACAGTGAATCGTCGCAGAGGGAGCAGTTGACATTGATAGATCCGAAATATGGACTCCCGCGGCGTGTGTTCTGAGATAAAAAAGCTCATCTACGATGTCTACTACCAAAAACACTACAACTGAGCGGCCAAGAAAAATCAATTGCTACAAGTCTGGTTTTTTAATCTAATTAAATAAAATGGAGTAGTTTTTCGAGGGAACGTTAGGAAGAGATACTATCATGTGCATAAAAGCAGCAGTTATCTTACTGCGATCGGTTCAGCTGCGAAGCAAATGCTCAGAATAATCACATCTCAATAGGCTTTCTCGGCCAACACTGCGAAACGCCTATGCATGCCAACAAACAGAAACGTTGCCCTCCTCTGGCATTGCGAAAGCCCGAACCCTAACCACAGCACCGCACGACGGGTGTGTTCTACACCTGGCCGGTGCCCGACCGCCGGAGTGTGGCGCGGCCGCCCGGATGCGGTGGGCATCGCGTCATGCCGCTGACAGCGGTCGTGGCGGGAAAACCCCACCGCACGCCTGGCGCAGCAGACGAGCGTGTCACTGTGGCAGCGTCCGAGCAGTGCTGCCGAGAGGAGAGGACGGGAAGGAGGGGGGGGGGGGGGGGAAGCTGCTGGCCGGTGCAGGGGACACAGTGGTCGCTGTGCCCCCCCCCCCCCCGCCGTCCCCCAGGCGGTGAAACTCTGGAGGGCTAGTGTGCGAGCAATTATGCAGATCCACGCGAAGTGTTCTGAATGTAGTTCACTCCAAAAAGGTCTTGGATCTGTCAATGTAGATAACGTGATGAGTCGCCAATCGAAACTCTTTGTTATCTTAAAAAACTTACGCGAAATGTGTACAGCTGTAATGACAGAAATCGACCGCCATTATCTTACCTGCTGCGTTCTTCCTTCCACTTTGTAGCATCCCATGTATTTTGAAAGGCGTAGATGGCACACGTTTCACAAAGCAATATTTTCTGTGACGTTCTTCACATTCTGTTGCATTGTCTAACGTTTTACGTTGTGACAGATGCTACATTTTCCTGACCCCGCAACTAGTGTCCTGTCCTGCACTGAGCAAAAGTGCACTCAGATCATCGATGTAATTTGACTGATGACTGAAAGTATTTATGTGCTATTTCCAGGGTCTTTGCACGCGTAAACCGGCGTACCCAGTCGGAACTTTCACGTTCAATAGTGTGCCAGTATAATTTTACATTGACACAGTCTTTTAATTCTGATATCAATACCCTGCTTGGGAAATGCCAAAATGCCAAAGCCGCCTGACCCTAGGTCCAGGTGAGATCAGATTGAATTTCTTGAAATTTTGGAGTCAAGAAATGTCAAAAATGACACTGACGCTTTTTTGCGTCGGCATATTCGCAAACGCTCTACTCAGCTTTGATGTCATTTCATAGCATCAAAGATTCGGGCGGCAGTGTCATTTCACACTGCGGCGTGGTTTACCGCTGCTCCGCTGTCCTCTCCCGCGCTCCTCCACTGACTTCACATTACGCACCACAGGGTGCAAAGCGACGCGACCTAACGATGACGAGGGCATCCGGCGGCTGACTGAGTGATCATGATGTGATTCAATCACGCCTGTACCGCACGGTGATTGATAGATACGTGACGTGCGGGTGTGGCTTGCCAGCGTCATATGACTCTGCCTTAGGGTGCCCTCGGCAGGTGTCAACGTGTGCAAAAATTCCCCCTCGGTAAGAGTAAAATGAATCGGTTTGAGTGACATGAAGCCATATCTACTTGCGCGACGACCGAGACGGAGTAATAGAGCAGATGTGCCAAGAACGCCACGTGCCAAATGACGTCACACGAGAGTCAAATGACACTGAAATACAAAACACATTTGGGGTAAAGTGAGCCTGCTCGTGCGTCATTATCTTTTATTTCGTGTCAAGTCACTCTTGTAAAAACCGTCTAACGAGTTTAAGTGCAACACTTTGAGCAGTTAGTCTATGTGTAAGTATCCTACACCTACAATCATAAGACGCGTCCTCAGAACGACGCTGGCAGGAGTCAACATAAACTGAATAGCAGCGTGAAGGGGAAATGATGCTCGCGGAACATTAAGCTACATTTCGGCATTAAACGGCTATTATCAAACCACATTTCCACGTTTTAATGCAACAACTTTGAGACTTAACTTTACGGTTTGGAGTCACATGCGCAGAGGCAAATGATGTGCGATATAAGTGGGCTTGCTAACAATCAAACCTGCATTTGACAGTGACGTCAAGAACAAAAGGTTGCTCAGAATGAGTCAGATGACATTCTTAGATTTTATGATTCTAGAAACGAAAAACCCTGACGTTGGTCGGCGTATTTTTTGTTTGTTTTATATAGGTTAGTTTGGTTGTTAGGGTGTGCTAAAGACGACTTGTTACAGCGCCTCCTACACGCTCGTGGCGGCCAAGTTCCCAAAATCAAAGAGCTGGAGATTACATAGCGAGGCACAGGAGCATCGGCTGTTTGGTCGGCCGGGCGGCCACGCATCTGAAGCGGAAAACATCAGCTGTAGCGGTCTTGCACCGAAAAGCCATGCGGAGCTGGACTTGGACTGGCAGTCGAAAGGTTTTTGCCCCTGTCCGTCCAGTTTTCAACGTGTACTTTGAGAAATTTTGGAATTCTAAACAATTAGAAATGTAATCGGCACCTCTAGTTCACCCTCTGCTCAACGGCCACTTGTTGCTTCTCTAATTATTATGCAAAGTGTGCTTTTGTGGGCTCAAACCGCCATTCACGGAATTTTAGTCCCAAATCTGCTTGAAACGCCGTAGTCATAACAACTTTCGGAAGCAAAAGCTCGTACCATCTTTAAGAATCCTTTACCCGACAATCCGTAGGCTTATCCGTGTTAGTCCTTATGCCACAAGGGTCATGTATGTAGAACGTAGCGTGCATTTGCCCGGACTCGTCCCAAAACTGACTGGCGCCTGTGAGTGTCGGGTCCCTGCCGCCGCCTCAGCGGCCGACCCTTGACCCCCGGCGAATTGGGAGACCCGCGGCCACGTGACGCCCCCCGGCACTCAGTCAGATGTAGAGCTCGGAAGACAGAGAGGGCGAGGACGCACACCCCGCACAATCACACCACACTTCCAACCTGATTGTAGGCAACCATGCCACTCTACCAGTCTATAAACACTCATAATCGTCAATGAGATCGGTGGGGACGCTGAGGCCGAACAACTCGACTGGTTGCCGGCGAGCGCGACCGCTCGTCCGCAGTTCCCTGCGACGATCCTCCTCTCATCTCTCTCTCATCTCTCTCTCTCTCTTATCTCTCTCTCTATCTCTCTCTCTCGCTCTCCTCTCTCTCTCTCCTCGCTCCGCTCTCGTCACTCTCTCTCTCCCTCCTCTCGCTCGATAGCTCTCCTCTCTCTCTCTTCTCCTCTCTCTCTCTCTCTCCTCTCCTCTCTCTCTCTCCTTCTCTCTCTCCTCTCTCTCTCTCCCCTCTCTCTCTCTCTCTCTCTCCTCTCTCTCTCTCTCTTCTCTCTCTCTCTCTTCTCTCTCTCTCTCTCTCTCTTCTCCTCTCTCCTCTCTCTCCTCTCTCTCTCCTTCTTCTCTCCTCTCTCTCTCTCTCTCTCTTCTCTCTCTCTCTCTCCTCTCTCTCTCTCTCTCTCTCCTTCTCTCTCTCTCTCTCTCCTCTCTCTCTCTCTCTCTCCTCTCTCTCCTCTCTCTCTCTCTACCCTCCTCTCACGGACTTCAGGTCCCAGCCCGACGACACCCTGGTGCCAGACTCCGCTCACCCACGTCAACTATACGTTTTGAGATCTTCACGGGCAAAAACCGTCCAAGTTATTCAGTCCTGCTTCACATCTAACTCGTTTCAAACGAACCCCGCTAAAACAATTATCATCCTTTTCGCACTCCACAATCCTTGAAAAACCCTCATCTTTTCATATTGACGTTGCGGAACACAAATTAAATCCTCCGTCGTTGGTAAAGATAGTGGTGGTCGCTAAGGAAAGTAATTTTTCCTTGCAAATGCACATATGTCATGCTGTCAAAAAGTGCAGCTCCATCCTTTTCTGCTTGGATAAAATTAGTCACCTCCTTACGCCCAAGATTCGTAAGCTTCTCACCCATTCCCATGTTTTTCCCCATCTTATGCACTGCCTCTCGGTTTTGGGTGGGGCTGAAGCTTCTAAGCTAAAGCAAGCTCAAGGGGTGATAAACTTTGTGGGCAGAATCGTCATCGATGCTCGTCCAGTGATTAAATGGCGGCGACTGTTCAAGCGCTAGGTTAATGAGGTATTACTGACCTGGCCACCCGCCGAGAGAGCTTCGCTGTATTCGGGGCCCTTAATGACTCGCGGGCTCCGTCGGTGGCACACAACTTTTCCGTATTGCACATTTCCATTCTGGAGATGATTTAGATGGTCCCCAAGTGTAATCATTGCTCGCCTGCCGTTGTGTAACATGCGCTGTGGATTTAGATTCTGACTCATTATTTGGTTTTTGACTCTCATGTGTAAACGACTGGAAGATTGACAACGTGAATTATCATATTAATGCTACCGAATCAAACAAAAGCCGCTTGTTGAAATGATTCATGAATACAACGACCTGACCTGGATTAAACTGCCAGGCACTGTAGACCACTAACCAACACGCCCCTTCCTGTTTCAGGGGCCCCGACCAATGCAAATCGCCCCAGCATTGCCACTACTTCGAAAACGGGTTCACAGGGCTCAGACCGACAGGGAGTCATTCACCGGTCGCTCGGTGTCGGTGATCTCTGGGAGCAATAGGGGACCCAACATGTCAACGAGTACTAAAGCGTGTCCTTATCGTCAGTCAAAAGGTACGTTAATCATCCAAGAAGCCCTCTTACCAATATCTGGGGTCGCGACCCTACGGGCGGGGATTCCAAATGCGACATAAAGGCAGCCATTCGGACTCTTCTGGCCAGCAGGATCTCAGGATCTAAGGGAGGGGCCATGCGCCCTGCTGCCCACGCTACTGCTATATTCTCGCGGCAGGAAAGATCTTTCACGTATGACTCGAGCGTTGGTTGGAGAATCAAACAGGTGTCACGCTGCATGGTGTATCAGTCCAGTATTGGATGGATACGCTTATTTTTGATCGTCCATATAACCATGCAAATATAACATGATGTGGAATATTCGGCACAGGTTTACAAATCTTCCGCAGAAAGTGATACGCATGTTTGCTTGTTTCCGCCGGGTTCCAGAACCACAGACAATTTGATTATACCAGTTTCTATAAGCCTCATGCAAGCATTTCAAGCACGGACCTCTTTGCTTTCCATCACAAATGCCGTCGGGCTAAGCAAATATCATTCAAGCGAGTTAGTGACTTGAAGCCCTTACTTCTATACTGGCCTGATCTTCATTTCCACTGATTTCAGGGAATAATAAAATCCTTTCCAACGCTTCCACTCGATGCCATCAGCGAACGATTTATGCGGTCCGGAAAGGTATCGTCCGTTCAGGTTGGATTCGTGGCAGTTCTTGTACCACCAGGCACCCTTATATCTCTGAGCACAACTTGGTCTCCGCGGCTGTTGGTTGTTCCTATCCTTTGTAGTGAAACGCGCATTATTGTGAAATCCAGCGAAACTATCGCCGGCGTTTCCCGTGTAGCCGCTCACGTGAAGGCGGTAACCATCCCGCTCTGGCCCGACCTTGAAGTTCTGGTATGATGCGTACCTTATTCCGCCATCAAAGTCTTCCAAGATAATGAGCAGCTTGTACCGTCGGCCACCCTGCGAGGTTAGCCGAAACAGGTGCTCATTGCCCCACCAGAATTCGCCATCGAGCTTTCCGAATCCAATCTTGTAGGACTGCCAGTTGAGATAAAAGTTCTGCCTGGGTGTGACATCGGCGCGCCGCTGGATGACGGTCCACTTGCTGCCGTCCTTGGACGTGTCACAGTACGTCGGTACCGGTTTAGGCAGACCACTCACCCACACCCGGTATACTCCGCTGGTCGAGCCAAATGGCAGGTCGCTGCAGTCGCGGACCGGCGGCTTGCCGTAGGCCGGCGGCTTGCCGTAGACCGGCGGCTCGCCGTGGACCGGCGGCTGGCAGTGGACCGGTGGCGTGCAGACTGGCTTCGGGCAAACCGGCTTCGGACAGACCGGTGGCGGGCAGACCGGCCGCTGCAACTTAAGGTGTCGCAACTGGGCCTGCAAGCTGTTTAACCGCGGCAGCACCGCCGACTTCACGGCCGCAGAGACTTCACTGATATTTCGGTGCAAGCCGCCACACCGCATTCCGCCAGAGTGCTTAAAGAAAAATCCGTCGCACGGGGATGGAACCATGAGCACTACCAGAAGGCACAGTGCCGCACCAATCCGAGGCAGAGGCATGTCGTGGGTGTAGAATTACATCTGCTGCCGGCAGACTGGAGTGTAAATGATGCTGCACGATGATTGTTCCAGAGTTCAAGGCACTATTTCACTTGGTGCGATGTGTCTTACAAAACGGTGTTTTTACTACATTTGGTTGCGGCAAGGCAGTATGGAATTTATGCGTGAAGAAGAAAAGTCACGATAAATATTGAAAACAAAAATGAAGTCAAGCATAAAGTTGGACTAAACCAAGCACAAAACGTCCAAAGGATGCAACTTTACCAAAAACGTCACCGCATCCTGGGCGACACAAGCAAAATCGTTTAAAAAAATGTAGTCTGGGAACATGACATCGAGGAAGTGCTTTCAATATAATAACCTTTGGAATGTCTGTCATCTGTCGTATCTAAATTCACTCATCACAAAAACCCCCGTTGGTTTTACATGAAAATTAGCCTGGAGGAAGGCGAGGAATTCGCCGCTTCGCAAGAGACAGACCTGTGCTCTGACTTGCGCGTGAAATTTGGGCCTCGTGCCAGTGTTTTCCTCTACGAAATTGCTGCTTGTCGATCGCGGTCCTTCAGCGAGAAGTGAGCGGCAATGGTACTTCATTTCGTTGCAATACACAAGTTTTTCGTCCATTTTATGTTGGCGAACTAACATTTTGGCCCACCGGGCCGGATCGTGGCCAGAGTGTAACGTTGTAATGTAACAAAAATGTCTCCGAAGGCCCGAAGCAGTCTGAAGACCAGAAGTACAGCGGAATCGTTCGCGATATCCGCGAAAGGCTAGGCACAAATTTCTCCAGGGAGAGATGCACAGACTAAGGAGCCTGCGAACGATGCAAAGCGCGCATTTGAGGCTCAGACGAGGGCAGCGATGGCAGCAACCGAAGCGGAGGAACAGCTGGTAGGTAAGACTAGGTAGGTAAGGCTTGTGCAGCGGTACGTAAGGCTGCCGACGCGGTAGCGGTAGATGACCTTGAGCTGTAGTTTATGGAAGAGGAAGAGCTGTGGTCACAGGAGCTGGTTGGGGAGGATGGCGACCGAGGTTAGCAGAAGACTGACAGCGATGATACGATGAATCACGAGCCCGCTGCGAGACTCCGAAGAGCCCAAGAGAAAGCTGAACCCTGGAGTTGGATATCGACACTTCCAGTGGACGCGCAGAATTCCGAAGACCTTCAGCACTCCTCACGATAACGCTAGACAAGTACGACGGCTCTTCCATGGAGGGGCCCACTTGAAGTAGGCTGCGTAAGGCCCTCGAACACGGTACCTGTGTGCTGACGGGCACGGAGCGCCTGACACACCTGTCATATTGTCTCACCGGGCAAGCCCAAGAGGCTGTCCGTGCACTCCTCTGTGATGTGTATGAGGCAGCGCTGCGTGAGCCAAAAACACAGTTTGGTGATTCAGCGGCTGTGGTAGAACATACGCTGGCCAGTGTCCTACAGCTTCCCCTCGTCACACAGATCGACCCGGCAGGACCCTAGCAGGTCTCACCCGCGCCCTCACGCCGCCGTTTGCCCCCTGACTTTCAACAACTTCAACGTCGATCTCACCGCCACTACCAGTGTGCGTCACGTCGTGACCAAGTTGCCGATAAGTATAGCTTGGCATTGGAGACATTTGTTTTTGTTGGTTATTAGGGGTTTTGGGCGCGCCGACTGCATAGGTCATTTTGCGCCCATAACGTTGTCATTCAGCTACGAGGTGAATATATGAAGCAAAATCCGATTTTTGCAAGGAATGAAAGCAGTCGGCCATGTTCAAGAAGTCGCGAATGATTTCCAAGAATGTCACTTAGCGTAAGGGAGGTAGCACTTTGCCCAAAGTAAACCAAACGCTTCCGGGCGAAATAAGGACATAGCTCAACTACGTGGTGCACCGTCAGAAAAGCAGGCCAACGAGGGCATCGGGGTCTCTCAACACCACACAACAAATACCGGTGGCTTTCGTACGTGTGGCCAATACGCAGCCTGCAAAGCACAACTTCTTCCTGCCTCCAATCACGGAAGCTGGAAGACCACGGTCCCAATTCGGATTTTATTGTTTCAATTTGCTATTTGTGTCATTAATCCAACAGAGATACCACTTGTGTTGCAAGAAAGGCCAAATGGCTGGATAAAATTTTGGCCTATAAGAGGCAATCTGCGTGTACATGGTACATGTGATGCGCGTTTTGCAGCCGCGTCAGCGAGCTCATTTCCAACGATACCGACATGACTAGGAATCCAACACAGTATCACCTTCTTTCCAACTTGGTCCAATGCAGCGAGACGCATCAAAATGTCCTGTAAAAGGGGACTCGATGGGTTCAAAGTTCTCAAGGCCAAGAGAAGGCTCAAAGGCTTAAAGACTCAAAGAAACTGTTGAAACGAGGTGCGAGGACTCATTCCCAACTTCAATAAAACAAAGCGCCTTGATTATAGCCGCGAGTTCGGACGTGAATACCGGCGCGTGTTTGGACAGTGTGAATGATCGAGTGACAGTACCTCTTGCAAACGCACAGCCGACACCGCCTGAAGTTTTGGATTCGTCCGTATAAGTTATTGTGCGCCCCTCGTACGACGCCACGTGCTTTAGCCCCATGGAACGGAACAAGTCAGGTGTCAGGGCATGTTTCCTTGTTTCAGCCGGCGAAGTGTCTACCCTGGGCGAAATCAAAAGCCTTGGAGGGTGTGGCATATGCCCTCTATGCCCATGCCCATCGGCCCTTTCCTCTTCAGCGTCTTCCCGAGCGACCTTGCATCTTACCTCTCTACCTCTCTACCCTCTACCTCTCATCTTACCTCTCTACCTCCCTCACAGACGTCCAGGGTCCCAAGCCGACGACATTCTGGTGCCAGACTCCGCTTATCCAGGCCAACTATACGTTTTGAAATTTTGGCAGAAAAAAACATCCAAATGATTCAAGCCTGCTTGACGTCTGACTCCCTTCAAACGAACCCCGCTAAAACAATTCTTCTCCTTTTTCGCACTCTACAATCCTTGACAAAACCCTCATCTTTTCACCTTGACATTGTGGGATACAAATGAAGACCTTCGCCGTTGGTAAAGACACTGGTGGTTACTAATGAAACAATTTTTCCTAGCAGATGCATATGTCATGTCAAAAAGTGCAGCTCCATCCTTTGCTACTTGGACAAAATTCGTCGCCTCCGTTCGCCCAAGATTTGTAAGCTCCTCATCCATTCCCATGTTTTTCCTCATCTTATGCACTGCCTGTCGGTCTAGGGTGGGGCTGAAGCGTGTAACCTAAAGCAAGCACAAGGGGTGGTGAACTTTGTGGTCAGAATCATCACCGATGCTCGTCAAGTGATTAAATGGTGGCGGCTGTTCAAGCGCTAGGTTGATGCGGTATTACCGATCTGGCCATCCGCCGCGCCGGCCTCGCTGTATTCAGAGCCCTTCATGTCTCATGGGCTCCATCGGAGGCACGCAGGACTTTTTCGTATTGCACAGTTCCATTTTGGAGCCGCCTGTCGCTGGTCATCACAGCCTCTAGCACCCGCAACGAGTCTCGTACCAGGCTAGATAATTTAGATGGTCTCCTAGTTTAACCATTGCTCGCTTGCCGTTGTGTAACACGCGTTGAGGATTTAGATTCATATTAATCATTTGGCTTTTGACCATCATGCGTAAACGACTGGAAGACTGACAACGTGCGAATGTGGTCACGTTGTTGTCATGTTCTACTGCCGCATTTGAATTACTATTTAAATGATACCGAATCAAACAAAAGCCACTTGTTGAAATGATTCATGAATACAACTAGCTGACCTGAACTAACCTGCCAGGCACTGTAGGCCAATAACCAACACGCCCCTCCCTGTTTCAGGGGTCCGACCAAAGCAAATCGCCCCGGCATTGCCACTACTTCGGAAACAGGCCCACAGGGCTCAGACCGACAGGGAGTCATTCACCGGTCGCTCGGTGTCGGTGATCTCTGGGACCAATAGGAGACCCGAAATGCCAACGAGTACCAAAGCGTGTCTTTATCGTCAGTCGAATGTTACGCTAATCAGTCAAGAAATCCTCTTACCAAAACCTGGGGTCACGTCCCTTCGGGCGGGGATTCTACATGCGACATATGGGCAGCCATTTGGAGACTCTTCTGGAGAGCAAATCGGGTACTTCCTTGTCGGTTTCAGGGCCCTTCGGGCTCCTGCCGCCCCTCAGGACCTAAACGAGGAGCCACGTGCCCTGACACCTACGATACTGCTATGTTCTCGCGCTAGGAAAAGCCTTTAACGTTTGATACAACTGTTTCTTGCGGAGTCAAACAGATGTGAAGCTGCAAGGTGTATCAGTCGAGTATTGGATGGATGCACTTGTTTCTGATCGTCCATGTAACCATGCAAACACAACATTATGTGGAAGATTCGGCAGAGGCTTACAGATCTGCGAAACGTGATACATATGCTTGCTTGTTTGCGTTGGGTTCCAGAAGCACAGACAATTTGATTATTCTAGTTTCCACAAGCCTCATGCAAGCATTTCAAGCACAGACCTCTTTGCTTTCCATCACAAATGCCGTCGGGGTGAGTACATATCACTCAAGCAAGTTTTGGGCTTGAAATCCTTACTTCTATACTGGCCTGATCTTCATTTCCACTGCTTTCAGGGAATAACGGTATCCTGTCCAACGCTTCCACTCGATGCCATCGGCGAACGACCGATGCGGTCCGGAAAGGTATTGTCCGTTCAGGTTGGATTCGTGGCAGCACTTGTACCACCAGGCACCCTTATATCTCTTAGCACAACTTGGTTTCCGCGGCTGTTGGTTGTTCCTATCCTTTGTAGTGAAACGCGCATTATTGTGAAATCCGGCGAAACTATCGCCGGCGTTTCCCGTGTAGCCGCTCACGTGAAGGCGGTAACCATCACGCTCTGGCCCGACCTTGAAGTTCTGGTATGATGCGTACCTTATTCCGCCATCAAAGTCTTCCAAGATAATGAGCAGCTTGTACCGTCGGCCACCCTGCGAGGTTAGCCGAAACAGGTGTTCATTGCCCCACCAGAACTCGCCATCGACCTTTCCAAATCCAATCTTGTAGGACTGCCAGTTGAGATAAAAGTTCTGCCTGGGTGTAATATCGGCGCGCCGCTGGAAGACGGTCCACCTGCCGCCGTCTTTGGACATGTCACAGTACACCGGCACCGGTCTAGGCAGCCCACTCAACCACGCCCGGTACACTCCGCTGGGGGAGCCAGTCGGCAGGTCGCTGCAGTCGCGGGCCAGTGGCTTGTCGACCAGCGACGCGCACGTCTGCCGCTGCAACGTAAGGTTTCGCATCTGGGCCTGCATGTCGGTTAACCGCGGCAGCACTGCCGAGTTCACGGCCCGTAGAGAGTTCACTGACCATCCGGTCAGGTCGGCGACTTGTCCTACAACGAATGACCAGCACAGTCCGTCGCACGGAGCTGGAACCCGAGCACTACCAGAAGGAATATTGCCGCACCACTCCGGAGCAGAAACATGTCGTGGGTGTAGAGCTACCTCTCCTGCCGGAGACTGGAGTGCAAATGACGCTGCACGATGCTTGTTCCAGAGGTTCAAGGCACCATTTCACTTGGTGCGATCTGTGTTTTACAGAACGACTTTATCCTGCATTTGGTTGCAGCAAGGCAGTAGGGAATTTATCAATGGTGAAGAAGACAGGACACGATAAATCATTAAAACAAAAAGTGAAGACAAGTATAAAGTTGGACGAAACCAAGCACAAAACGCCCAAAGGATAAAAATTTGCCAAAAACTTTACCGCATCCCGGGCGAAGGAAGCGAACCCGTAGACAAAAATGTAGTCCGGGAACGTGACATCAGAGGAGCGCTTTCATTATTAGAACCTATAGAATGTCGTCTGCCATGTCTAAATGCACTCATCGCTAAAATACTTTTTGGTTTTATGTGAAAGTTAGCGTGCGGCAACGTTAGGATGGTGTCGTTTCGCAAGAGACAGGCCTGTGCTCTTGCTTGCGCGCGAATTTTGTGTCTCGTGCAAGTGTTTTTCTCTACGAAGTTGCTGCTTGTCGATCGCGGTCGTTCAGCGAGAAGAAAAGGGCAATGCAACGTTACTTTAGTTGCAATACATACGTTTTTCGTCCATTTCATGTTGGCGAACTAACATTTTGGCCCACCGGGCCGGATCGTGGCCATAACGTAACGTTGCAATGTAACAAAAATGTTTCCAAAGACCCGAAGACCAGAAGCACAGCGGAATCGTTCGCGATATCCACGACAAGCTCAGTGCGAAGGAGGCACAAATTTCTAGGAGGAAATTTTTCCTCTCCTTTCCTTTCCTCTCATAGGAAAGCTGCGCAGGCTAAGGGGTCTGCGACGGATGCAGAGCGCCTGCCTACCCGACATAGGCACTGTGGATGTAGCATAATTTATTATTCTGCCTCAATATTACTCGAAATAAGAGAAGACGATCCCCCAAACCAACAATCCGGCACGCACCCGAATTGCAGCCAACAAATGAATAACTCCAAAGCGGGTGGACTTTGCCCCACAAACCACACATCGACACCATCCCGAAGTTCCCGCCTCGTACAGCTCGTCCTCCCCCCCCCCCCCCGCCTCCTGTCCCCACCGGACGTGACGGGTCGTCCCAGGGCGCCGGGCGGCCGACCAGGGCCAGTATACCCCGCCAATAGAACGCCAGCCGGCCAAGAAAGCGCTCCCGGCTGTCGCCACTGCGCGCCTGCCGCTGATAGGTTACCGCCAGTGGTCACGGGCGAGAAAGCGGAGCGCTGGCTGATTCAGTAAGCGCCGGTCGCTGGTGCGAGGCGCCGGCCGATCCAGAGAGGCGCCGGGCAATCCCGCGGGGCGTCGTCCAGTTCCGCGTGGCGCCGACCGATCCAGCGAGGCGCCGGGCAATCCCGCGGGGCGCCGTCCAGTTCCGCGTGGCGCCGGCCGATCCAGCGAGGCGCCGGGGCAATCCCGCGGGGCGCCGTCCAGTTCCGCGTGGCGCCGGCCGATCCAGCGAGGTGCCGGCCGATCCAGCAGGCGCCGACGGCGGATTAAGTGGGCGCTAACGGAGATCCTGATCACGACAATCGGGTCGAAGGTCGGCCTGGTGTCCGGGAGCTGGGAGCTGCGCTCAAAACCTGTTCGTTTCAGATTAGACGTCGGATGAGCCCCGCATCCGAGGAGGCGACACCGGCCAAGCCTCCCGATGGCGTTAACGAGCAGAGGCGGCGCGATGTGACCTCGCGCAGTCCGACGATGGAAACTTACACGGAGAAATCCAAGAAGAGGCGACGTCGGGCACCATATCATACCACGCCACGAAGTCGACTATCCCGGAGGGAAGGCGTACATGTAGGCAGTGGTTCATGGACGGGCAAAGTCTCCAGAGGTTCTATGGGTACTTGAGCTGCATTGCGTCTGGGCGAAAGCGCTAGGACCTTCTTCTTCAGGACCTTCTTCCAGGACGCTCTTCGCCGCGGCCGCAGTGGCTGGGCAGCCTTGAAACGCCTTGGATGCTTTGACATGTTATGAGGCTTGCCTGAGGCTGAAGCGTCTCGGCCCTGGTGCGGACCCAAAGTCGTGGCCCGGTGCTTCAGCGGCCTCGGGGTTGAGGGCTGAACAGCGGTCCTCCGGAGCGTTCCGCCGATATCTCCCGCAAAGGCGCTGGAGAAGACAGAACTCTCTCATGCATTCTTTGGCTTAAAGTGTGCGCCCTGGCGCCAGCAATCACCCTACTGTGCCTACTGTGCCAATAGTTCATTTACCCCCCCCCCCCCTGCACAAACGCACAGCAAAGCTGCCACAAAACACTATTGACACCCCTGACCTCCAGCCATCTGCGGCGCCTAAAAACCCCCTGAGGGTCGAGAGCTGCACCACAATCTCCGCCGCGCGTCCCCGACGCCTGGCACGATGCCAGTGGCGCCAGCTGTGCGGCGCCGGCGGACGCAAACACAACAGCGGCGCGTGCCAGGCCGCCGCGTCCCCCCCCCCCCTCGGCTGCCGCCGCCGGGCCCGGCAGGGGGGGGCCCCCCCCCCCCCGCTGGCGCCAGGTCGGTGACCGGCCGCGTTAGTCGATGACCTCGGGGCGTGGCGCCTCGGCCCGATGCGGGCGAATGCGGGTGCCGCGGCGCGCCCGCAAAACCCTTCAGGACCCGCCGCGCTGGGACGCGTGGAAGACGGTGTCGTCCCAGCTGACACGGCTGTAGCCGCGTCGCCGGCCGGAGATCGGACGTCGATGATGACAATATGAGCTTTCCAGCGCGCCGACTGCCCTGGTCTCACTGCGCCTATCCGTTCCGCTACCGAAGGAGGGGTAGGGTGACGAGTGAGGATCACAAAGTCGGATCGCAGTGATCCCGCACTGCAACGTGTATCCCAGGCATAACCGATCCGCCAACTGTAACAGCCCGTTACGTTCAGCGGGCCGCGCCATTGGCCGAATAGAACAAAACTAAGGTACATTATGTTACAACAGAAGTTGAGATGGACTCCTTCGCTACGCACTCGGGCCAACGCTGAGCCTTGATAGAAATGGCTGCAAGCGCCTTCCTCCTCTAAGTGAGCCTTGATAGAGATGGCAGCGAGCACCTTCTACCTCTAAGTGCGTACGGCGACATGCACTTGGACGTTGTCCACAGGCCGCGACAGAGGAGATCGACAAAACACTACACATCGAACAACTCAGAAACAATATTGCAGAACTAGCCCGGACCCCACCACAGGCGGTAGCTGCTGGAACCCGATCGATTTTTCACAGCTCGAACAAGAGAACTGGCAAATTTTGCTCAATGTCTCGTTCATTTTTAATGCCGCTTTTTGCTTACTAATGGTATGATGTTGGTACAAGGTGCCCGATATGCACAAATGAATGCATAAGAAACCAAACATTATGCAAACAGCATCTTGCCATATTTTACCTACCCATCTAATTGTGCGGTGAATAATCTGGTTTACCGAGCACAAAGTGACCAACTCAGTTATGGATGCTAAAAATGTCCGTTTATTTGAAACAAAGGCATCGCCAGCGCGCAACGGTTGCATATCCACGACAGGTAATTTTCTAGCACTGCTTTGAGCTAAAAATTTTGCATTGGCTTTGGGGTAACTTTAGGAACCGACCGTTATTTTCAAGATGTTTAGTGAATCGATGGGTTGCCCCGCCTGATTTTGGACAGGAAACGATCATCTTGGTTGTTATTTACATCCAAGCGTGCGTGTCAACAGGATGTGGCGATCATCTCCATAATATCCACAAATGGTATTGGTTCATCGGGCTATCAGAAAACGTGTGCCCACAATTTTGTCACCAGTGACGTGGTCTCCTCTTGGATGTCCCACGTCACATTTGACAATAGGTCTCGCTACTACTGTGACAAATCAGGCTTTCAGTCGCTACGATAGTGCTTTAATATGAATGTTATTTGGTTTTGATTGATGAATGCAGTTGTGTTAGCATTCATATACAGAGTGACCATTCACTAAGTGACTATTCACTAACAGAGGTCACACTGATTGTTATATTGTATCATCAGTCATTACATGCTTGCAAGACCCTGATCACTGCCGCCAACCCGAATGGTAGGGACGTCCATTTGCTCAATGGGGTACAACATATGCATCAAACTGATTGTTCCGAGGAACGAATGGTGGGATGGAGTAATAAAGCGAAAGCCCTGAGTGAAGGGCATTTCTCTTCATTTCCAAATAACTCTAATGCCGTAATGCTCAGCGCTCATTTCAGGAATAATTAATGCTTCAAACGAACACTTCAATAAATGTTAGGGACGTCAAGTTTCTCAACGTGGTGCAACATATGTGGTACATATGTGGTATATATCAATGTGGTACAGCATAATCAAACTGACTGCTCCGAGTGATGAATGGTGGGATGGAATAATGG